TACAAGGTATTAGTGCTGCAGAGCTTTCGTGCAGACAGAGGTTGCACCCTTTGTAGGCTTCTTGGCGCCTCCACAGATCTCTTTTTTTAATAGGAACACTTTATCAAATATTCTGCGCTATTGTCAAATCTACATCAAGCAAATTGTTAAATTACGCCGCCATTACCGCAAGTTCAATAATTGAATTCCGTATGTGTTATACTTTGCAAAGCTTGTTTGTGCTCCTCGCGCTATTTGTGAATTATGGCAAATTGGCAAATGTAATTTTACGTCACCGCGGGAAGTCACGCTTTACAATTGCGGCGTGTAAATCGTTTCGAAAATGAAAACGGAAATTTCCATCACTCGATTCCGCGATTCTTGTAAACTCTTTATTGTTTATATATTTTTATTGGGCGAATTTTCGAGAACCACTTCCCAGGTAAACCATTGGTTGAATTAATTATAAGTAGGAAATTACTGACCAGCAACTACTACACGTTTCACTCCACTCATGTGGACATCTTCGGTTTTAGGTAATGTTTGTTATCGAATAGTCGAAATTACAGTTAGTTCAATACTAAATATAATTAGTGTGTTCGCGGCAACTGAGATTGGGATTCCTCGAAATTCAAACTTTCCTTATTAATATTGTTTCCCAGTTTGGAGTGGAACATTAAAAGATTTGGGAAACCTCACATACCTCTGCATATAGAACTTCATTCACAAATACGGATTCATTATGAATTAAGTATTAAGAATTATACTTACTATCTGTAGCATTTTATTCCCTCTTGCTAGCAGCTGCCCTTCCAATTATTACTTCTGCTTTTACATTCAAAGAAAGATTAGTCCTTTAAACATTTGTGCATTCCTTTTTTTGAAAAAAACCTTTATCTTTTCGACCGGTCTTTGGAATTTTAGAAAATACGCTTTCCGTTGATTTGGTTTTTTGGTCCTTTTCTACTACCCTAGGACTAGTAGCACCTATAAAGTAAGCTTTCAGGTGCATAATATTTTTACATCATCAGTACGCAAATAGCTGTGGTATGATGGTTTTACAGTTTCTTCTTCTACTCCAATTGTTGAAGTTTAAAACCGTTAATAAGGGTTTCCTGATTTCTATGGGATAGTCATGGAACATCTTTATTTCCATTTATCTTTAAAGTCTGAATCGTCACTTACCTACTGCCCCATGTTTATTGACCTTGTCGCGTTTGTCCCTCTAAAAGTCTACAGAAACGAAACAATACGATCTTAAGTTCGAAGGAGCCTTTTGGTTTGGTCCTCTATCATTTACTATATTTCACAGCAAGATTTTGGAACCCGAGAGAATAATTTTCGGGCGAATTTGTAACAAGGTCTATAGGTAATACTATGCCTTCATATTAGTAGCTCTGTAATAAAATTTAAATACCCCCTACGTTCCGGAAGTGCGACTTTTTATCTTCTTTTTAAATCCAAAAATCCACCCCTGGCAATTTTTTTACTGGGAATATTTACACACACCTAAACAAAATTTGAATTCATGACCAACTAATGAAAAAATAAACAAACTCCTTTATACAGGTCCAATTATAATGAATGAAAATGAAATACACGGTGGCCATTTGAAAACGAAACAGTGCCTATTTTGGGGACCTCACAACATCTACGAAGAAATCCTCGGACCCGTCAATTTTTATTCAAGGGGGAACCATTTTTTTGCTAGTTTCGCCCCCTTGAGGGCAAAGTTCTAGCGGGGGTGACAAGCGCCCCCAAAATTTTAAATCGAATGGGAGGGTCGAGTGGTACCTTATTTTGAAGGTATTTGTATGTGGATTATAAACCCTTACGTTTTAATTCGCTACAAATTTGCCTAGCCGATACAGGGGTTAATAAAAGTGACAAAAACGTGGCAACATTTTCTTATGAAAAAAAATGCTTGTAAATGAATTAGTTAAATAACAAAAATAAATACAACAATAAATACCAAAAATGTTGTTCTCCTACATTCTGAACCTACTTGTTGTTTTTTTTCTTTTTAATACTCGTAGGTATTATAGCAGCATTTTGAAGTTTAATAGTGATTGTCAATTACTGTTGTCAGATCATAGTAGTTATTTAGTTGCAAAATCCGTACATTGAACAGTGATAATGGTTTATTGCTGAAAGATTTGAAATAATTTCTGTTTAATCTACAACACCAGAATCGACAGGTCCATCGTAAGTACATTTTAGAATTGGTTCAAAAATTTAGGGAAACTGGGTCTGTGGTTAATAAAAAACGTGAAATGGATAACCCAGTAGTAAATGAAGCTTCAGAAGTGGATATTGCAGGCCATATTGTGCAAGATCCCACACTGAGCACAAGGAAATTGTCAATCGTGTCTGGTATTACTAGAAGCAGCATTCAGAAGATATTTTAAAAAAAACACAAGTTTCATCCGTACAAAATACATCTCATGCTCGTTCTTTTTCCTAAACGGTACTGTGAATCGTCACAACTGTCGCTATTGGGCTGATTCAAATCCCAGAATAGTTCGTAAGGTGCATGTACACAAAATCCTGAAAAATTGAATGTTTGGGCTGGCATTTTTGGTAACCATATCGTTTATGGTAGTCAGCCAACTTGCGACAAAGAATAATTGATGAATGTCGTCAAATTACACCAGAAGTTTTTCAAAATGTACGGGAAAGGTTCGAACAAAACCTGTATTATTGAATGGAAGTCGAAGGCCAACATTTTCAACATTTACTTGATTCATTTTAGCTTTAAGCACATAAAATAAAATTGATTTACTGAAAGGTTATAATCCACATAAAAATACCTTCAAAATAAGGTATCACTCGCCCCCCCCATTCGATTTAAAATTTTGGGGGCGCTTGTCACCCCCGCTATGGCGGGGCCCTCAGGGAGACGAAACTAGCAAAAAAATGGTTCCCCCTTAAATAAAAAATTGACGGGTCCGAGGATTTTTTCGTAAATGTTTTGAGGTCCAAAAATAGGCTCTGTTTCGTTTTCAAATGGCCACCCTGTATAAAGCTGTTTCATAAAATTAATATCCACAGATCGGTTTCATTGCGGATATTATGATTACGTTAAATAAACATCCGCTGGAAATTCTGAAAGATAACTGACCAATACGTTATATAATTAAAAAAAATTAAAGTAACTTTCAGATATCACTGGAATCGGGGTTTGCCCGAGGTGATAAATAAATAGTAGGTCAACGCTTGGTTCAGTTAATTGACGTTTTACTACACTAGAAGCATCTATTACAATGAAATGTCTTCATAAATAAGAAAGTTGGCGCATGCGCACTTCTTATATTTACAACATGAGATATGTTTGTCTTTAACAGAAGCATCTGTGATTCAACAAAATATCTCAATAAATAAGAAAATTGATACTGCGCAATCTGATCATGTGCGCATTAATCGTCAAGGTTTTTCTTGGTTCACATGCCAGAGCTATAAAGTACAGAAATAAAAAACGAGTTAAATATATTGAAAACTGTAGGAGTAGTTAAGTCCTCGGACGGATAGACGGAGGGACGGAGAAAGTGGCTGCTATAGTTCACCCAATTAGCACAGCACATCGGTGGCAATTACGACAGTACCATATCTGTCATCTTTAATAAAAGTTAAAGCTGCGTAAATAGCTATTGCTTCCATGGTAAAAATGGAAAGTTGTTGATTTACGCGGTACCCCTTTTCAATTTTTTTAATTGGTATACAGAATGCGACAGCTGACCCATTTCCTGTTTTAGATGCGTCCGTGTATATGACCACAGCATCTCCCCACATGGATAATGCGGATACCAGGATGTTTTCCGGATCTTTGAATATATTATAATCGAAGGTTCAGCCCCACCTGTCACATTAGTATAATGACTCCTGTCATCAGTAACAGATTGACATTAATCAAAAGGTCTATATAAAAATCGAAATTTTATACAAAAATTTAATACAAAACGTAAATTAAAGTATGATGCCCCTTCAATATTTCCTCGCCAGTAATTTGTTATTTTACTGAATTTTATGTGAGTAAGTATGATTTAGTATGATACCTTGTACACTTCCTTTTTTTGAGGCCCTCAAAAAAAAATTTTCTCAGATCGACCCGGAAAAAAATGTTCTTATAGAATGTGGCCTGTAGAATCCATAATTTCAAACAGTTCCAAGATTGGGCTACTAGATCAAAAGTTACAGCCCTTTGAATTTTCTTTCGAAATTGGTTTCTTTACTAGTCTATAACTTTTCATTGAGAAGTCTGATCGAAAAAGTACGAATTGTTTTGGATTCTACGCACCAAAATTAATAAGAGAAAGTGTTTTCCCGAGAAATTTTGGTGCAGTCGATTTTTGGTAAAAACGGAAGGTTGTACTGGATATTGGAAGCAACTCTAACACGATTAACAACCAAAAATTAATTAAAAAGCATCAAAACAAGTAGCAGTGATTGTGTACAGGTTTCGGACAGGTAAATCATTCCTTGAATGTTTAACGCTCGAAAAATGCAGTTAAGCTCAAACACTTTCTTAATCAAGTACATTATTAACAAAAAACAGTTCCTATTATAAACACTGCGTAATTTGTTCTTACTTTAGATAGTAATACTTGAACCGCTTATTAACATAGCATGAAATGAATGAATGTAAAGTTAATTTAAAATTGGACATTAAATATGGAAAAAAATTACTCATATTAGTACTGAAGCCTGACGGCCACACATCATAAGTTATAAAAAAGCACAATAACTTTTGAATTTTCAGTTTTCAACACTTTTGTTTTTGCAAAGGCTAACAAGCGGTAACTAAATTAACGTGATAATTACATGCATTTTTTTGTTCATGCGACTACTGTAACTGCTTCATTGTAAAATGTAAAGGTAATGTTACCAAACCATCTGATTATGAACTATTATCATTTAGTAGAAATCGCATAATTCATTAACTTTCAACCTTCAGTTTTATTATATAAATTAAATTAAAAGTATCTACAATTGCACAACTACCCGCAGTCAATTACACACATTACAAGAATAGACAAGTCAGCATTTATTATCAGTGTACATTAAATTACATCTATTTGGCTATAATATTAACTTATGCACGATGTCACATACGTGGGAAACGAAATCTTGTAATTATTTCGCTCGTGAAAGGAACCATACGTTCATGGGCTCAGATTTACCCTTCATAGAAACCGGACCGCGGTACTCGAAGTAAAATTGTTCATCAAAATTATCCTCTCGACATAAATATCTAAAAAAAGAAAAGTCATCATTATTTACATGCTTCGCAAATGGAACAATGCATATTAATTTTTTACAATAGAATTACATTCTTAATAACATCTTTTTTAAAGTAAATCTAGTGAAAGCACCAAGAAACGCATTGAGTACGCAATTAGTGATGGTAATTTTTTTTTAATTAAAAATTGTCGTTTGTATTTTTCAGTTTTGTACTAACGTAAGATTTGGAGAGCTTTGTTATATCATTAGGCTCGGTTAGTTGCATCTGGTCTGTTTATTTAGAAATTTGTCAATGTACAAAATTAAGAGAGTAATGCAGATGCGAATAACGAGTTTCTGCGAAAAATTCAGTAATGAAGATTGTGGGACTGTATTAACCAACGCCTATACGTTCATACCAAATAACTAAATTAATTTAAGGTGACGTTTACAGAAAGTGCAAAAGTTGCCTTGCGATTTCCTCAATAACTTTGTAGTCCGGGAAATAGAGACTGAAAATGGACCATTTCCTGCAAAACGAGAAGTAGTTCCAATTTGCATGTCATGGAAGAATATCTGGGGGTTAAGAATCCAAGTTTTCGACCTCTCACCTCTTGTGCTTTCACCGTACCACCCTTAAAAACAAAAAAATTTGGTTGGTTTTTTAGTTTTTCAATCATATAATTTTATAGGTTCACTTTACAAAAAAATATTGTTATAAGAAATGGTAGACTATAAAATTCTCACAACTTTGATACACGCTACTTTTTTGTGAAATGTTTACTAAAAACTATATAGGGTTTCAGAGATGCTTATATTTTTGAAAATTCTCATATTTGTATGTAGATGTTTTAACCAAATTTAATGATTTATCTCTATAATTAAGAGTTTTATGAGAAAATATCTAAAGTTATCGTGGTATAAATCCCCCTACCCTGCACCCTTACCAAAGGGGATGCCTAATAATTCAACTTTCAACCCTTGCTAGTGGGGATATTTAAATCGCTGTGAGATTGTAGCGCTTTCTAATATACGTTTGAAACAAAAAAATTATCTCACTTCAGTTCAGCTTCATCCTTTGGGGGTGGTACGGGGAAGCACAAGGGGTGGGAGGTCGAAATCTTAGATTCTTAACCACCACATGACTGTGTATGGCATGCAAAAGAAATCGGAACTACTTCTCATTTTGCAACTTAAAACCCTCTATTCCCTGGAGTATTGTTTCGAAGTATAAAAATGAACTTCTGCTAAAAGTTTAAGCTTGTGAAGTTAAATTTGATAACAAATTATTATCAGTATGTGATAGAAATGAAAGATATATATTTTATATGGGAATTTTTTAACAACTTATTTCCTAAATAACGGCGATATTCAGGAATTAGCTAAATAATTTTTTCTTCTTTGTTGGCTCTGAATGTTATACATTTGGTTATGGGGGGCCGACCATTATGAAGCCATTTGAAGTGTCATGTACGGGTTTTGCATCCCTCCACTCTCCAGGTGGAGGTAAGCCATAATTCCCTCATGTTTGTGTTAAATTTAGATTTAACTTTAGGTATCTTATCGAATAAACGAAAATTGTAAGCCGGACGTCTTTCCTCGTTGAAATTGAAACGGGAATGGTTTCAGTTACTTATACGAGTATAATAATTTAATTTCTTGTAACTTTAAAAAAAAATGTACGCAGTCAACTACGGAATAAACATTCTTCTGAATTGTGTATAAAGGATTTGCCTACTGACATTAACTGTTAGCAATTACATTATTTCAAAATAACACGTGTTGTAAACATATTAATGGAACATGTTTTGAAAAAGGTCTCGATTTATAGCAGGTAATGAGTAATAAGTACACTACCTTTGGGGGCTGAAAGGCATTCAGTTAAACTTATCTTGCACGTTTCTTACTTTGAAGGGAGTTGTTAATTATTTAAAATGATAGGTACCGCAGCAAACCAAACTATATAAGGATTAAAAAGAATAGTAGGATTGTTAATGTAAACAAAGTACCACTAAACAATTTATAAAGTTAACAGTCGCTTGCGCGAGTTTAATCGGCTAACAAGTCTAGATATCGATGAAGAAATTCCGGTACAGGTAACATTCTTATGCCGTTAGGTAACATGTAATTCTGCCATAACTGCTGTCGAATGCAGCAGCGGCACAAATGTTTTAATTCCGGGGGCTCTACACCGCACCTTGCAATCGGAATGATACCATCCTCGATTAAGCAAGGATATTTTAATGCAATCGAATCCCTCTGATAATTTGAATCCGGGTCGCACTGGCCATCTTTGTCTAGACAAATACTGGGTAAGGCACGCAGTAGGAGTTGTAGGCAGCTTATTAGATTATAGGGATACGTTCGTTTGTACGAATATAAATTGTCCAACAAACTTTCGCACACGCTTTTATTTTTGTCATCCAAAGCGCCGAAACGCAGCAAAATGTGGAGTTTGTCGGGGACTCCGAGCTGTACGAGGATTTTGAGTGGAGTAGATTTTCCGCAGCTTTCAATAGGAACGTCGATGTATCTCATCTTTTCGTCACTTTCATGCGAGTATTCCAGATTTGCGTTTCTGGCGTGATCTAAAAAATAGACACTGGCTCGAAGATTCTCCTCCTGATCCTTGAAGTCGCTTTTCCACCCTGCAATAAAGTAAGGGGCGCGTACGCCGAACAGAGCACCGACCCATATCCGCTCAAATGTATTTTCGCACAAAAAAATATGATCTAAAAGCGCCGCGACGGTCGGGGTATCTTTCAACTGCCAGTCATAACACAGCTTAACCGCAACGTAGAGGATATTGTGATAATTTCCCATTTGGCACACCGACCCGTTGGACTTCATCGAATTTTCGTGATACCTCAATATGGCGACAATAGCCTTTTGTACGACAATCTGCGGCTCGCTATTTTCTCCTATTAATAATCATATTAAGACACCGCAACCGTAAATTACCGTTTTACCTCGACAACATCCTTCGATTAATGTGTTAAAGTATTCAACCAAATCGCGTCTCTTATAACTGGCATGTAAGGTGTTACGCTCCAATTGAGCAAAGTTTTCAAAAAAACAATCTAAAATTACTTCCATTATATTTCGATGTTATTAAAATCCGCTTGCACGACTTCACTAAATAAGTGCGTACTTTTTGGTAGAATAAATATGACACACATTACGTCAAGAATCTACGAGTTCTAGATTGCCTGGAACGAAACACCCAGTTAGTGTTTCTTTAATACTTTAATTTGATTTAGTTAACCTATGGCAATAAGAGGCTTCCTAAGCATTAATTGTCTGAAAGCGTCAATGCCGTACAGGTGTATGAAGAAACTAGGGGAATACTGTTTACACACCACACCAGTGCCGCTGTTAACGCAATTGCTTGTTTAAATAGACATCTTAAGTCCTAAGATGTTCAACAAGTACTTTCTATTTGATTTATATTGAAAATGTTAGCGTAAGCCACGTGTTGTGCGTGTGTAACCTCAAATTGTGTCACATGTTCGTTATTTTCACTTGAGTGGCCCCTTCAGGAAGCGATATAAAGTCGAGACTTTAAAAATTTACGTTATAAGTCAAAAGTTTAAACCCAAAACTTCGACTGAGGTAATAACTTGAAATATTTGAACAACACTTCGACTTATATAGTTCGAAATTTCAAAATTTCGACCTGTAACTCGAAATTTTACCTCAAAATATCATCTCATAACTTAAAATTTTGGTTTTCAATTCAAGATTTTACCTCAAAACTGCGACTTATAACCATTATTTTAAAAGTTCGACTTATAACTCAAAATGTTGCATTTAAATCTTCGACTCATACCTCGAATTTTAAAATGTCGACGTTTGGTGGCTAAAACTTCGAGGTGGGTATATCATAAACGTTTGAAGTTTCGACTATGTATCGAAATATTACTACAAGAGTAACATTAATATTATTGCAATATTACACTGAAAAAAGGTAACAGCCTGGCAAAATCATAAAATGAATATTTTACTATATTAGTCGAAAAATTAACCTCTTATGTAAAGAAAATTAATGTATGTACAGTATCTGATTAAATTACCGTAAATCCTATGTAGATAAACTATGAAGACAATGAAGGGGTAGATCAACTAGTTCCAGTAACTCCCTAAAATGTAAATCTTTAAGAAACCACCGATAAATTATCAAATATCAAATGACATTCAAAAGGTGTTCTCAAATTTATACCGAGGTGATTGTTTCACTCATCCAAATAGCCATAGCGTTACGAAAATACTACACCCCAATAAAGCACCGCGATACGACCTTTTTACATGGCAAACTCTAGCAAATGCTTTACTGGGAAATAAAATATCTCACCCAACTATATATTTTATGCAATTTTGCACATAGGGTACTTTCAAAACTAGTGGAAAGTATCACAAATGGTATTAATCCCAAACTCAGAGTAACCCCCAAACGAGGTAAAATCGTACCCATCGATAAGCCTACTTCCCATTACTTCTAAACGGTTTTAAAAAATTCTACAAACAAAACTCTGTACAATCCTTGAGAATAAAGAAACTACCAGTTCGGCTTTAAACGACAACACTCCACGATAGAGTAAATCCACCGAAATGTTGACAAAATCATCGCAGTATTTGAAAACAAACATTACTGCTCCGTAGCGTTCCTTGACATTACGCAAGCATTTTACGTGTGGTATGTTGGATTGTTAGCTATTAATCCTTCAGCTGCACTATTTCCTGTTACTTAAATCATACCTTCAAAACCGACAGTTCCCAGTAAAAGTTGGTACTGAACTTACTGACCTACGTCAGATAAAGAGAGTACCACAAGGCTATACTTAATATACACGCCCGACCTTCCGACTATACCAGAAGATACCGCGGTTCTAACCGCTAACAATCTTGCTACAGTCGCCACAGAAATTCTACAGAACCTAAAAATATAAGAAGTCTAAAGAATCAGAAAAATAGAAAGAACCGCGGAAAGAACCTGAAAGATCATAAAAATCGGAATTATCTCACGAATTTGAGCATCCCAAGAAGAATGTAAGAAGCTAAATTATTCGAAGAATCATAAGAAAATGACGATTTGATTAATATGACAGCTCTGGAGAATCCTCAAGGATAAGCAGAATCCAGAAAAACGGAAGCATCTGAAAAACCATAAGAATTTGAAAAATCAAAAGTATTACATTAATTATTAAGGATCCGAGGAGCCCTATTGCTCTGAAGAATTTGCACAATACGAAGAATTTAAAGAATTCTAAGAATCTTTTTTTATTACATTCCCCCCGAGGAATCTAAAGAAGTAAAAGAATTGAATTTTGAGATTAAGAACTCGAAAAAACGAAGACATTATAAACGTTCGTAAGAACCGAAAATATATGAAAAGTGTAAAGGATCAAAATAATCAGAAAAATAAGAAGAACCGAAAGACAGATTCGAATAATCTCGTAAATTTGAAGCATCCCAAGAGTGGCTCGAAGAGTAGAAAGAAAGTTAAGGATCTCAACAGTCCGAAGAATTAAAAGAATTTCAATGGTCTAAAAAGCCAAGAAGAGAAATTGAACAGAGAGAATGCAGAGAAAGAGACATCTCAAAGAATCCTAATAATCGGTTTTGAAGAAATGGAAAAATTCGATCAGTTATAAAACATGAAGACTTATAATATGAGAAATTTGTAAATCTGAAAGAATTTTCAAAAGTTGAAGGTTTTAAATTATCTCAAAAATCAGAAGATTTATCAGAAAAATACTAGTATCCGAAGGTTCATAAGATTCTACTGAACTTAAACAATCAAAAGCATTTGAAAAACATTATGCATCCGAAGAAGTATTGATCTGAATAATATGAAGATTCTGAAAAGACATGAGTTTGAATCTAAAATTTTAATAGTACAGAATTCGTCGTATTCGAAACGTTCGAAGAATATAAAGAATCAAAATACTTTTAGTACTGATTCCAATCGAAATATCTAATTATGCATTATTAGAAAAAAGCGTAACTCTAGGTATATTTTTCATCTTTCTCAATTTTTGTGTACTGGACCGCGCTCTTAAAATTCTTAAGTTACAAATTTACCAGTAAGAAACCTCCTGAGCGCAAAACTTTTGTGAATTTTATAAATTGTCTTCCCCGCTATTGAAAAAATGGTATTCTAATTTAAACTTTTTCGCCACTTCTATACTTTATTCTAAATAATTAACAGGGACCTACCTGTAGGCGTCTTCAGACACGTTAATTCTTCCAGGTTCCCCGGTTGTCTCGGTACGGCTCGTTAAGTTGACCGTATTCCCAAAGAGACAGTAGCGTGGCATTCTATGACCAATGACCCCCGTAACCACCTCCCCCGAATGGATACCGATTGTGATTCTCTACAAAACTTGTGTTGTACAATTCTTATCCATTAACAGCATGTCAGTACCACGGGTTCACCGTCGTCAAGAATTTCCTTAACCATATCCATCATGTCCAACGCTAATCTGGCCATATCCTTTGCGTGCGTGGTGCACGGCTCGGGTAGGCCGCTAACGGCCATGTATTTATCGCCTACAGTCTCTACCTAATAAATAACCCAATAAATAATTCACACCGCAACATGTGTGGTAACCTTGTATATGTTAGGATTTTTTACAGGATCGGTGAGTACATCGAACGCCGTATAAACCTGATTTAGCATCTGAACGATCTTCATGGCGCCTCCTGAATCCGTATTATTGGCGCAGTACGTCGAAAATCCAACGATCCCCGAAAAAAGTAGCGTAACGCAGTCGTACCTTTTTGCCGGTATCGGTCTCTTATGACGTAACTCATTTGCGACACTGATCGGCAGCACGGAGTATAACAACCTGTTGGATGAAAAAACGGTCAATTACTCACATATCCTTACAAAATACTTATGAAATATAAATTTTAGAAAGTTGATTAGTATACGACAATTTCTAACGTAGATTTACACCTGCCCGTGCATAACAATTTTTGTTTATACACAATGACGAAATTCGTCATTGATTTTTAATAAATTGAAATTAATTCCGTTATTATAATTAAAGCTTTTTTACGTTAAAAAAATATACCTTACGCAACAGTCATAAACTTTATGCTGGGTACGTATCTTTCTTCGATTGTTCAAATTGTTATTATTCTTGACCTATTCTGGTCGAATGCGTTAATTTTAATCATATTTACATAATAATAACAGCTACACTACTAATGTTAATTACACGGTGACTTTTAATATTTTATACTTTGAAGAACTCTAATATGCCCATAAGGTGAAACAATTTTTCGTTCGCCTCACAAGGTGACCCAATTACATTTATGCTTCAAGTGGTATAATAAAATAAATTTTAAAACTCGTCCTCTGATGTAAAGTGGATATTTACACATGTCGACCCTGAATCGTAGATTATGATTCCTTGCAGCTCCGCATACATAAAGACATCATGAAACATTAATGATTTTCTTATTGCACCTATTCGAAAAACATTCGATTCCTTCGTCTACAATAAAAATGAACTTGAGTATCCATTCGTTCAGGGCATTGCGCAACAGAAGCTATAAAAATAACAATAAAAGAGAAAATTATCTTAGAAAAAACTTTTGTGACTTGACTCTTGAAGCAAATCTGTCACGAAATTGGCTGTTATGCGTTTTTGAAGCTTATACTACGGTAAAATAGCTAAGTGGTAGTGGAATACGAATGGTGTATTAGTCGTAATGCGAAAGGCACCATTCCTATTCTAGGATTTGCTATACCAAACCCGTCATTTTATAGCGCTTTTAATCAGAAGATAACGTATGTTTCTTATAAACAATTTTATTCATAAAAATTATAGACATACAGGGTGACCAACAGGACCGCTGGAAAACGACGTGTGTTATTGGCTTCAAACTTTCCATACGATTTCCTAACACTGTCATTTGAACTAAATATTTTCTGGAAGCCCTTTGAGTTATACCGGAAGTCAACACCAGCTTTTTTTTAAATGGAACATTGGACATTATTTTCTGATTTATCTCGCTTTTCAAAAAAATGTTTAATTCTTTTCAAATACAGGAGTCGTGACTAATCGAAAAAAGTCCGATCCTTGCATCCTTGCGCCTTTTTTACTGTAATCAGACAACATACTTATTATACTGTGAAGGACTTCAACACAGTGCGGGCCTCTGAAAACTTATAATGGCTATATTTTTTTTTATTAAAGAGAGATATCAAAAAATACCGTTTCTTTAAAAACCAGGGGGAATCGAAATGACTTATTTTTAAACTACCCCCACTACCTCCTTAAGGGACTGACGTAAAAATCTTACATTAAAATACCGCACTAGTGAAACCTCTCTGGAAAGTTGAATATTACATGATTTTCACTGAACATAAAAAAGTAGGATGAACTCAAATCCTAATCTCAATTTTTGGTTCTTTGTCTATTTTTAAAAGCAAACAATTGACCTATTAATCTAGGTGCATAAGTGAATTTGCATAAATACCAAGAAAGTTTTGGATTTGACGTTTACTTAGTAGCCTACAATGTCGCCTGTCGCAGAACTGAATTTTTTGCCACAAAAATGACATTAGAAATCTCTCAATTTGCGACATATCGCTCAATCTGATTCTAAACCTGCTTAGAGAATTACCACTTAAGGCAAAGTGTGCTTACCTATATACATAACAACAACATGTCTTACGGATAATTCAGGTAGGTCGGCGGTGGCTTGCCCATGAATTAGTTGTATACTGTAAACAATTACCCCTAAGCTAAACTACTCGTAACGCTAATGACTCTGCTTGAATGGAACTCATTTTATTCTGTAAATAGAAATGATTTACTCTGCCAATGTTAAATATTGCAACAAAAAAACATTACATAACATATACATATACATTAAAATTGATCTTTGGATCTACGAGTAGAAAATCGATTATAATATAGTCTAGATCCAGATCATCACCTAAAAAGAATCTAGATACCAGAGCTGGGTAAAGCCCTCTTGAAAAGGGCTTGAAGCACTAAGCACCGAGCACTTTGTTTTGATAAAAGTGCTTGCAAGCCCTAAGCACTTTTATGTGATAAAAGAGCTTGGAATTACCAAGCACTTTCTAAAGTAATTGAAAATACAAAGCACCAAGCCCTTGGAAAGTGCTTGAAGCCATTTAAAGTGCTTGAAGCCATTAAAAGTGCTTGAATCACAGTAATTGACAATATAAATTAATATAAATATAAACAATATAAAGCACCTTTCATATTACTGGAAACCAGGGTTTCTAGTCTATAACTTTTGATTGAGAATTCTGATCGAAAAAGTACGAATTGATTTGTATTCTACGCACCCAAATTAATAAGAGAAAGTGTTTTCCCGAGAAATTTTGGGGCAGTCGATTTTTGGTAAAAATGGAAGGTTATACACTTTTTTTTGAGCCCCGAAAAAAAATTGTCTCAGATCGACCCGGAAAAAAATTTTCTTATAGAATGTGGCCTGTAGAATCCATAATTTCAAACAGTTCCAAGATTGGGCTACCAGTTCAAAAGTTACAGCCCTTTGAATTTTCTTTCGAAATTGGTTTCTAGTCTATAACTTTTGATTGAGAAGTCTGATCGAAAAAGTACGAATTGTTTTGGATTCTACGCACCAAAATTAATAAGAAAAAGTGTTTTCCCGAGAAATTTTGGTGCAGTCGATTTTTGGTAAAAAAGGAAGGTTATACACTGCCTTTTTTTGAGCCCCGAAAAAAAAAATTGTCTCAGATCGACCCGGAAAAAAATTTTCTTATAGAATGTGGCCTGTAGAATCCATAATTTCAAACAGTTCCAAGATTGGGCTACTAGTTCAAAAGTTACAGCCCTTTGAATTTTTTTTCGAAATTGGTTTCTAGTCTATAACTTTTGATTGAGAAGTCTGATCGAAAAAGTACGAATTGTTTTGGATTCTACGCACCCAAATTAATAAGAAAAAGTGTTTTCCCGAGAAATTTTGGTGTAGTCGATTTTTGGTAAAAAAGGAAGGTTATACACTGCCTTTTTTTGAGCCCCGAAAAAAAAATTGTCTCAGATCGACCCGGAAAAAATATTTTCTTATAGAATGTGGCCTGTAGAATCGATAACTTCAAACAGTTCCAAGATTGGGCTACTAGTTCAAAAGTTACAGCCCTTTGAATTTTTTTCCAAATTTGTTTCTAGTCTATAACTTTTGATTGAGAAGTCTGATCGAAAAAGTACGAATTGATTTGGATTCTACGCACCCAAATTAATAAGGAAAAGTGTTTTCCCGAGAAATTTTGCTGTAGTCGATTTTTGGTAAAAAAGGAACACTGCCTTTTTTTGAGCCCTGAAAAAAAAATTGTCTCAGATCGACCCAGAAAAAAAATTTTCTTATAGAATTGTGGCCTGTAGAATCCATAATTTCAAACAGTTCCAAGGTTGGGCTACTAGTTCAAAAGTTACAGCCCTTTGAATTTTTTTCAAAATTGGTTTCTAGCCTGCTGGAAACACTTTAAAAAACACGCTAGAAACAGTACTTCCGCATCGTAATTATACTGAAGGAATTAGTGGTTTTATCGCTAAAGTTTTGCTTGTCCAAATTTTCGTTTAAAACTATTAGGTAAACAAAAAAATGTTGTTATCGGTACAGTACTCTCCCCGTACCCATGGCTAATGAGTAATGACTAATGTAGAAGTAATAACTGCATGTGCTATAAAAGTAGGTACTACAAGAAAAAAATCCAGAATGTTGCTCGGAAATTCCTTGACACTTGTTACTTGTAAGTACGTACCTACCTACCGAGACGTATCTTCTGAAAATTCGTGATAGTATGTTACGTGAAGAAATGCACAGAGAAAATTTGTAAACTTTTACTATGTAGGTAATAATTCTTAATTACAAATATAAAAGGACAATAAAAGATAACAATTCCTTATAATCAAAGTAATACAGATATAAGGGTTAAGACTTAATTAAAAAAATAACTTGCAAACCAAAATTTAAACTTCTACTATTCTTGGTATTTACTATTTTGGCGGTTTGATGTTATTTTCTGGCCTTTTATAAAAATGTTTAATTTAGTGGCAAGTGCGTGGTAATTGATTAGGTACTTTTTTGTCGTTCAGGTAATGTATTTTATGTATTATATACGCGGCAGTAAATTATCTGATTATACCTATCGTAATAACTATAACAAAACTTAACGTATGCCGGTATGCCCTGAATATGATAGGGCAGCGTTAAAAAATGGCAGAACTTACCTCTTCCTTTTTTTGTTCGCGAAATCGTACGACCCCTTTCACAGGAAACCACACAATACGAAAAACAAGAAGTCAAAAGTGGGATGTGCAGACTGCAGACTAATCACTAATGAAGCACAGAACACGTAGGTGACGTCAGAGTAGGAGTGAAGGAATGAGTAAGACTAAGGGTTTTCTAAATTCGTCACCTAATTCACGATAAGAGCTTCGTTATGAAAGTGCTTGAAGCTCTTTATAAGTGCTTGAAGCCCTTGATAAGTGCTTGAAGCTCTTTAGAAGTGCTCGAAATTGTATGAAAGTGCTTCAAGCAGTTCAATAGGGCTTGAAGCTCCAAGCACTTTTAAAAAGTGCTTGGTAATTGAAGCACTTTTTCCTGAATTAGAAAAGTAATTGAAGCACAGAGCTCTAAGCACTAAAAGTAATTGAAGTCCTTTAGCAAGCACTTTTTTTCAAAGCACTACCCAGCTCTGCTAGATACTACCCAACACTGTAGCCCAACTCGCTGTCAGTATTTCTATACAGCACTGAATAAAAAAATGCTTCTTATATTAACGGATTAGTTTTAGAATTCCCGTTAAAGTTTCTTAGGCAAAGCTCCACTGTTAAAGCAAAATTTTATAAACTCGTAATTCAATCAGTAAAAATTACAGTCAAACCCGAGGATCTCAAAAATTACAACAGTTCGTAGTAAAATTTCCTAATTAGCTCGTTTACATCATATGATGCTGAAAATTTCCTTCGAATTATATGTTTCTTCTACGGAAACACCACAGCACTAAAACACACTTGACTGCGCGTTTTTAAAAGAGTTAATTTTATCACAGGTTACGTTAGTATAAAAGATGTAAACCTATGTTGAGTGTCATAGGGAATTAAAACTGGCAACGCCAGAATGGAGGAGTCTGCTCACACCATTTTCCTTAACGTGGTTAAGCAAACAAACCAAATATTTTATACCCACCTATCAGTCTTCTTTTTTTCCCTGTCCAATTCCCTATACGTCTGCTGTAACTTATCGGTTAAAAGTTCCAAGTTTCGTGTCAGCTTATAATCGGCCTCAAATTGTTCAGACATTAAAACCAAATCCCTCGTGGCATCATGTAATGGTATATCGCTTATATAAAGTCCTCGCCTGCAAAAGCATAAAACGCAAAAGTTCTAACTTTCCCATGTACCCAGATATAATGTTACCTAGTTAGGTCATCCAAGTTCATAACGCTCGGATAACATAAGAATATAACGAAATCAGTTTCTGGAACGTAAAGCATCTGCCCTTTCAAACGTAGATATCGGTACTCGGGCGGTACGTTTACTTCCATTACGCCCGACTTCGTTTTGAGCACGTAAATCGTGTTAATGTGCGACAAAATGTTCTCAAAGGTCAATGCCAAGTGAGGGCGAATCTGGAGGAAATATCATGAGAGTGGAACAAATCGTTCACGACATCAAATACCGGATCCAAAATGTCGGTGATTTTGCAGTCGAAATCGATCACTTTCGGAATTATCCTCAGGATTGTTGTTCCAGTTTGTATAATCCTCATATCTCTGTTGAACATTATATGAAATGGAAATACACGACAAAAGGTCGCAGGGCTCACTTTTGGCTCTGAAACACAAGATTATTTGAATTAATTAACTCTCGATGATGGATAACCTTGATACGTCTTAGATACCATCGCGGCATTTTAATTAATTGGAGTAGGTTACAATTTGAAAGTGCTAGTAATGCTTGTCAGATTCTCTGTTTTGCTTTGTGCAGATGACGCTATTAGGTTTTTTTTATGAATCATGCACACTTCATTTGTCAGTTGTGAGTTGAGGTTCTATTGGTTGCTGAGGCGAGACGTGCTTTACGAGTTTACAATTTACGCGACGAGAAAAACAGCACCTTCCGTTACTTTGCGAACCCTTTGTTTAAATCTAGAAGAAACTTCAATTTATTGCCTACATGAAAAATGGAATGCGGGAACCAGGAAGTACCTTATTAGTCTCATTCATTCTTTGTTTCCGCTCCCAGTTCAAAGACGCAATAACTTTATGACGTTAAACAAAATCACATTTTGCTGTTAACCGCATTTGGCGGCGAAAAAGGTGCTGTTCCATCAGGACAATGCACGCATGTGTATAGTCACCTTGGCAAACATCCATAAATTGGGCTACGAACTGTTACCCCATCCAGCATATTCACCATCCGCCTGTGACTATTTCCTATTTCTAAACCAGAACGAATTATGGGGGGTACGAGATTTGGTTCGAATGAAGAGGTCATCGCTGAAACAAACGCCCTTGAAATTGGGAAAGAATAAAAAAATTGGAAAAAGAACGATCAACTGAATGTGTCGAGCTACAAGGAGCTATGTGTAACGCTTTTTATTCACCAATTGATATTACTGATTGGGATTCCGCTTAAGAAACTAGTCGATTCGTATTCTTAACCCTTTTCGCTCACAGTGTATATTCAGTATTCTTGCGCCATCGTCGTGGGGTATTTTTCTTTAATTTAACGTCACCTTTATGATTTTACCCCGACAATTGTAAGGATTAACCCGTGATTGATCAGAATTTTGCTTTTACTAGTATAAAGTCATTCGAATTATTGATTTTTTTAAAAATATTAATTACAGTTTTAATATCCGATTTACCTACTGTGTCAGACGTTAGACATTGCTATTTCGCAATATTTTAAGTGTAGTGTAGTGTTTAAGTGTTACAGATTTGTATAACGCGCCCTTTTTGAGGTCAACAAGGAAGGCCGTTGCTACAGTAGTTCAAAGGTAATTTTTTATTTCGGGAACTCCTTGATTAACGTTTGATTACATACTGGTGTTCGATGCTTCTTTTTGCAGTGAATTTTCGGGAGGCACATTTTCCGTAAGCGAACATTCCGAATCTAACCGTGTGAGACAAATATTCTATGAACGAATACCACTCTGAGAGCAAACGAAAGGTTGGCCTTTTTGATGGGCGAATACCTGGCGGGTGAAGATTCCAGTAGTGAGTACACAGGGGCGAATTTTCCGATGGCGAAATATCGGGTGCAAATTTTTTGGGCGAATCTTTTGTGTAAAGAAAACGCATCTCGGTAATAAACAAGATGTTTCAACATAATTTTTTAGCTGAAAGCTGGTGGGGTGTGTAGGCGCATAGAAAGAGATCCCTACCAAATTTTAGCTGTCAAATTTTCGAAAAAGTATACTTTTTAAATAAAAGAGAAACTTTGAGACGCGTTAAATTATTTTTCTGAAAACCTGAAAACGCGTCGAATCGTGCTTTCACAAGTAGGTGCTTGTGGATTAAATTCAAAACGTTCCACGTCAGATTACAGTGGGAATTAATAAAACGTGGGAAGTGAAGAGCTCCTCAAGAAGGACGTAATAAAAATAAAGCGACGGGCGTCGTAAGTAGAAACTCGCGCGTTTGTGTGATAAATATTGCCACTCCTTCAGCGACAAAAGAATCTTCCACTTGGAATTTAACCTTCGATAAACATTTCGTGACTCAATACCTAGTTAAAACAATGAAGTAAATACAGAAAATTTAATTACTCGCTGCACGCATGGATTGTTTTTCCTTGAGGTAATAATATTAAAATTAGCACTCACCAAGAGACAAGGTTTCAATCTCATCAATTTGGGGAAGCGGGCGTTTTTCCGGCGCCGATCTTTCAGTAATGAGGAATTGAACGTGGTCGCTGTCTTGCTTGGTTTGAATGATTTCCACTTCGACTTCAGTGTTATGCAGCTTGCTGGCAACCGTCTAAAACTCGTACCAGTTCAAATTTTCGCAGGGGACGTTGAGGGTTTTACCTTCACAATTCCAATAACTATGTAATCCAAGCCTGGTCTATCTGAGTAGTAATGTAAAATAAGAGCCCCGTCCTCAGGCCTTTCGGTGCATCGAAATGACGGCGCCTTCATTCCAGGATAAAGTGTGCCCAAATGATCGTGCAACGCGTCCAGATTCTGAAACGAAAATTAGTATTTCCGATGAAAAGCTTGTCCTTACCTGTAGAAAATCGCGAGGTGTAGCTCCCAGTACTTGTAGAATTTTATCATAGCCCGAATCCTGGCAAAATTCAAAGAACGTCTTTCCGAACAGTTCGAGAATTGCAGTCGCCGGAATGTCTGCAAATTATCTTTTTTGGCCACCCTCAAAGAGTACACAGAATTTATACTTAGAATGTTTACCGCTGCAGAAATTAGGTTATAAGTTAACTCATCCTCGTAAATTTGCCTGACCAGAAACTGTCCTTCCATCTGGAGATCGGCGTGTTTTCTAAAATATTAATTGAATTAAGAGCAACAATACTGGATCCCCACTTTATAGTTTCCCATGTTTCATCACCAAAGGTTTTTACGACCAGTAATTCCAAGGCATAATTGACGAAACCGTACTGAAAAATTACATTTTAGTTGACGAATTATGGAGTTATGGGTGGTTGTACCATGATGGGTTTGTGAAGTTACATACACTGCTGCTCTACGTGTTGCATGGAATTAAACTTTAATACTAAACGGAAATGTTAAGTTTTCTATAGAGAAAATCGATTACGGCAATTGTGGCGCCTGCGCTTCTCAAATGAAAATATCAATAGATGTCGCTAAACTGCCTTTTCGCTACAACGTTAATTACTCTTCAGTTTTTCACCATGAACGTCGTTTAAAAAATTGAGCCTGTTCGCTGGCGATAAATGGAAAAAAGTTTTGCAATTACGATCGAATCCTGCATTTAATGTTATCGTTTCAGTTCAAAGTTTTAATTAACAAATTACAAAACTGGGGCGCTTACGGGGGCTCATTTGTCGAAAATGTTCGATTTTATGGCTGGCTATTAGCATAACGGTATAATAGCTCAATCACAACGTAAACGTGAAATAGGATTGGTTAATTTGCAATTCTATTGAACCATTATATTCTCAGCCTCATTGAGTTGGCACTTTTTCGTTCTTCTCGGGATAATCGCGTTGAATCACTAATAACATTGTTTATTCAAATGCTAATAAGATAGATCTTCCTCATTATATATTTTTAATTGACTGCGAATTTAGCCCTCGATGACGGAGATTCGGATTAGAATCCGGGACCGTCAATTTGTTCTCATATGTTTAATGGAATTGCAAAAGGGCAATTGGAACTGAATGAGATGGTAGCTGTACGGGATCGGAAATTACTTCATAATTAAATTATTGGAAGATTAAAAAGACTCGGTTTATATGCAAATTTGTAGTTATCCCATTTACTTCGTACATGATTGCCGCGACAATTTTCGTCCGGATAGATCGGAATAAGTAATTCATGTGTAGGGGCGCCCGCGCCGCTTGAAGCTGTTAGTAAAGTTAGATATAATTAAACGAAAGGAAATCTCTATACTATAAATTTTTCTATGATTAATGATTAATTAATTAATTGAAGATTTCTGTTCTTTTCAATTTGATTTTAGTAGATCCTTGATTTTTCTATAGTTTCCCTGCAAATTAAAACACAAAATTTCGACTACGTTTTGAATATATTGCTGTGCCTCTTTAATTTCGGGTCACATACAGAAAATAATTGCACACCACGTTCTTGGCTAGCTCTCGAATTAAATTAAAAGGATCACTTACCAAATTTTGAAGACAATTGAAATAAATTTTGAGCACCGATCAACAAAATTAATCGTAACGAAGCATCTATCTGAATTATTAAAGAGATGAGATGAATTATCGGAGTAACAAAGAGAGCTCTCAAAAAAAAGTTTCAAATAAAAGTTGCAAGATTCGATATAATAAATTCAATGGACGTAGACAACAATTTTTCAAAGGGCGGTTTTCGAGATATTGACATCAACTACCCTATTTTAAATGGACGCCATATATTGTATTTTTACGTCACTCGATAGCGAAAATAATTATAAAACCAGTGGAAGAAGATCTGTGACAGTAGCAGAAAGCTTACTCACAACACTATGGTTTGAATGAATAACGCATCATATAAACATGGATATTTTTCCACTAAAAGACAAAAATCAATATTTAATTTGCTTTCATTATCCGCAATTTTTAGCACTTCTTCAACAACAAGTTTATTACGACTCACGACTTACGACAATTCATCGTGCAAATTTGGTAAGTTTAGTTTCTGCGAAGAATAACCGCCAAATTTTGATAAAACTTGTAAAACTAATAAGTTTACCAATAGTTGAAGCGCCGTATCTCGGAAACTATTAGACTTGCGGAGATCGTTAAGGGCTTAAATTGTCAGAAATTTTGTCTAGTTCAAAAAAGTATACGACAATAATTGCATTAAAATCGGTTCTTTAGGAGTGAAACTTACAAAAATAAAAAATGGTGAGAAAAATGACATATTTTCAGTGCTGTGTCGCTCGCACAGGTCTTTCAATGTCGAAAACTTGGATTTTTCACATCCATATTCATCCTAACAATTTAAAAGAAAAAATAGAGATGACATATCTGATGATGCAGGAATGCCCATTTTTGGTCTAATTTGACTGTATTAATACGACAAAATTGGGAAAAGATTTTACCAAATCACGGTCGCTATGATAGTTCCCCAATCCCCAATGCCCTTTATAGAAGTTTGCCATTCTTAGTCAAAACGAACAAGTATAATTTTGTGAAAATGACTTACACTCAATGTCGTATACAAGTCATCCCCACATATATCAATCGTTAATATTATTTAAGGGTCAGTTTTTCCACGTCTTCATATATATTCGGCAAATAAAGTACCTTGACAACGATTGTTTCAAAGAGATTGGTTTCCATATCATTTATTCGAAGAGAAGTTATTGAGAAGTGGAAAAACCAAGCCTTTATATCCTTATCTTTGTCGGGCTTCTAAATTCGAATAACATTTGGTCATTTATATATTATTTGAACGTATTGTATTTATCTGCACCTGAGCGGCTTATGCGATAAGCCGACCGATTCTGCGTAAGTTAGTGCCTTATAAAATATGTCGTGGTGTGAGTCGTGCGTTTCTGCTCCAATTGTTTCCCTTGTCAATCGCCACCCCCAATGTTAAGGGTAAGACTTTTTGTTTAACAACCTACCTTAACTTCTCACGGAATCATAAACAGTCGCTATACATCCAATCTAACTATTGCATCAGGTACGCGAATCTGTAAGATGTTTCCATTATTTAGGTGAATCATTCTCTATCGTCTTTTGCAATCATCAATACCATTTTAACTGTTAATTTCATTAGTTAGGTAAACATATAATGGGGACCTGAATTTATAGGACATTAACTATTGGTAAATGTTGTATCCCAACAAATATCAAAAATCCCTTCATCGATCATTAAATTCATTACCGTACACGTCATTTTTGGAATCAGTTTTCATTTGGGATTCTTGATGCTAGACATATGGGGATATTAGGGGATAATATACCAGTGCCTATGGCTTTTCTGTGACTGCCATTTTTTCTACTGAGCCTGTAATAAGCTACGTAAAAGCACCAACTACTTAGATATAGAGCCGTGGCCGTACCGAACAAATCCTATTTAGGGTTTTTATAGTTAGTAAATATATTGATTGATTTTTCATCTACGCATATTAACCCTTAACTAGTTCCACTAAATAGTAAATTGTGTAAATGTACATGGACGCTCCTTTTAATCTTAACCCTTTTTCATATAGGTAAACGCATAATCGAACGGAATCTACTAAACGCATTGTCATTTAGCTGCACTTGGCTGGACTATGCGATAAACCAGTCGATTCTGCACAAGAAAAAACGTCGTCGAACAATGGTTTCCCTTGTCCAACGCCACCAAAGCTAAAGGGTAAGTTTTTAATTTAATACTTAACTAAGTAAATACAAAGATTGCCACGAATTGGATAAATTGGTTATCAAAAATCCAGTTTTCATTTTTAGCGCATTTCCACCAAAATATAAAAAACGCGCTATTGTACCCAAGTGGTTCGTCCGACTGTCCGCCACTATGTCGCTACTATAGATCTTTATGTTAAGAGCTATTGTTCCACTTTTTTCGCTATTTGGTGAATTATGGAGTCTAGGCTTCCACCAAGGAAGGATTTTTTCTGCGTTTAAGACCAAAGTTATCGTAAAAATCATTGTTTCTTCATGTACCATAATTTTACACTTTTGCCGTTTATTGTACTACACGCTAAGATGTTTCTTATAAAATCAAATTGAAATGACGTGTTAAAGAATAGGTTGTGTATGCGCAGTGCTAACTTTCTTATTTGTGGACAGATTTTTACGAAATTTTAACAGAAAATGCATCTTACAAATGTAAAATGAATGCACGCTGCAGAAAAGGATCTACTTATGCGCAGATCTAGCATTTTTACTTGCGTACCACTATTTTTTTAAATTTTAACTGAAGATACTTCTTGCAAAAAGAATTGAAAACACCCCAAGGAATATAGATCGCAGCTGCGCATAGTCAAATTTTTTATTTGTGGGGCAAAATAAGTAAACGTATGTCAGAAAATGGAAATCGTACTTAACTTGAACTTCCACAGGCGACTCGACCACTCATTTTTGATCGTCCGTTACTTTTTACCGCATGTTTTAAGAATTAAACAAATGTGATTGTGATTGCGTTTTGTCCTTTCCGTTCGTTCGGATCCACTTCTGCGGTTTTGAACTTTTTGGGGAATTATCCTAGAGTCCTGACATTTTTTGAAATAAGTAGCCTATACCTTGAAGGTGTGCCAAACGGCCATCAAATTTTGCTGTCTAAAACGCGGGCCCCCCCACGAATTATTTCCTGAGATGCTGTTTTTGAAAGTAAAACGTGCATAACTTTTACATACGACAACCAATTGGTCTCAGATTTTGCATGCGCATGCCTTTAGTGGTGCCTAGTTAAACTTTAAAAAATGGGGGGGGGGGGGTATATTCCCTTGTACCGATTGAGACGTCTGCAAGAAATATATCCATTGGTGATGTCAAAACACAAGCTATTTCGGTTTAAAAAAATGCGCTTTATCTGCACAAGAGTTTTGCACAATTTATACTTGTTTAACTTGTTAATTCTTTTTGCCACAGATGCGTTTTGTAATTTTTATGTGCGCACAGCTCCGCTGCTATACGACAAGCGCTCATCGTTAACACCAGCGTAGGAACGCTAGAAGGGTTTCCTTTCCTTCATGCAATCCCATACTTTAAATCTATTTCTTCTTAAATAATTTACCACGATTATCGCATCGTCCCTTGCTTACTTAGTTGTTTTCCTTAGAGAACCCACAAGTTCAATTTCGGAGATTTTGGGTGGTAGAGGGGATCAAAACAAGCACTTTTTCCAAATAAACCGAGGGTCCAACGTGTTTCGTTTGCGAGCCACCCTCAAAAATTTGATTAAATTTGCATTTTTTCTATAATTTTTTTCTCAGTAACCATAAGAGTTAGAAAGACTGGTGGCACGTCTTTGCATAGGTTTTGGAAAATGTCATTTCCACGAAAGAGCGCACCCCTAAATGGGGGTGTGAAAAAATTCGACGAAATTTGGTATCTAGGCGTTTTTAAACTTGAAAATCACGAATCTTAAATTAATAAATTCGAAAAAAAATTCTACTGCAATTCTTGACCAGGCAACGAAAATGGAGAGAATTCCACGAAATTAGTTGTGTATATACTTACTTGATAAGGGAAAAATTCAAGATTAATTTCCAAATAAAATATTTAAGCGGAGCTTAACTTAAGCGTAGCTTAAAATCCATGGCAACCGAGATGGCAACCATTGTCGCAATAATCGTCATGGATTTTAAGCTACGTTTAAGCTAAGCGCCGCTTAAATTTGTCGGTGCCAACGGCCATAAGATTACTAAGTATTTGGTATCGCCGATTTTGTAATTTTTTTCTCTATCGAGTGACATCAAAATATGGTGTCCGTAAGAAATAAGAAAGTCGATGTGATTTACTCGAAACCCACAAGTCATAAAAATTTTATTTTAATGCCATCAGAAAGATGAATTCACCAAGAGTTTGTTAATAGTGTTTTTTATATATTTGAAAATAATAGAACGCCAGCGCGTTTTCGAGAAAAACTCACCCTGTTGGAAGTACAAATTAAAATTTTGAATACATATATATTTGTATAATACGGTAATAATTGGCACATAATGAGCACATTTTTAATTTGGCGAAAGTGTACCTCTACATCCAGCGTGAAGTTGGAGGTGCCAACTGAAAATTTAACATATATCCGTTATACTATGCGATCAAAAATGAGTTGCTGTCGAGTCGCCTTTGGACTTTTTGTTTACATGGAAAGTCGTATTTAACTTGAACTTCCAAAGGCGACTCGACAGCAACTCATTTTTGATCGCCCGTTATATTATATGATATACATTATTACGGCGGTTGGCGCATTTTCTTATTATTATAGGAAATTGGGCGAATAACCCAAAATTGTAAACATTCTTAAAAAATTCAGAGGAGGGTTGAATAAAAAGTGATGAATTAGGAAAAGTAAATAGACCAGATTGAGGATGTCTCAGCACGAAATAATACATTTTATTACCTTAATTCAAAAAATGTCACATTTATTAATTCTTATACTGGACCTCTCTCCCAAGAGACATTAAAAAAAAATAAGTCGGGAAAATAATATTCGAGGTTTAGTTAGAAAAAAGTATATTTTGAGGTCTCTTTGTACTTTTGTAGATAGAATCGTAAGATTGCTGCCTTCAAGCGAACATTTTCTTTCGTATTTGTACACGCAATCTGCTGAAGTAGGATCTAAATTGAAAATTAATTAATTTAGTAATACTCCAAATCCTCATTAATGAAACGAAACCCCATTAGCTCCAATTTATATTATAATTAGAGCACAAACTTGGAACACATAACAATTACAATTTATTTGAAGGAACATGTTTTACCAACTTCATTAACTTCATTTTAAAATTGTATTGTCAAAGTCTCTTTATGTTATCTTTATTGAGCCTTACTTACGCTCTAGTTTTGTAGGCGTTCGCTGAGAAAATATCCATCTGGTACTTATTTATTTATAAACTCGGCAGAGTTGTATTTTGTTAAAACTCCAATTATAACAGAAATCCAATCTTCGATCACAATTTACGCCTAAATCGAATTTTTTTATAGTAGTGCACTTGATATTGAATTTTTTCAAGTATGAAAAGCTTGAACGCCTCGCCTACGAAAACAAAGCCATAAAATTGTTATATACGGTGATAAAACGGGGAATAAATACGAATTATAAGGTGTGTGCGGTTTTCGTCTGTATAATTTTTTCACAACTGACCAATTTTGATCTAGTGGAAAGTTGCTCACGCCAATTTACTAAAAATAAAAATGTGCGTGTCACAATCGACCACTTTGGTCAAAGCGCTTTTTTGCCATTTCAATTTTATCTCTTTCAAATTCGTTTCCATTGCTAAAAGTTACAATAGAAAACTATTTGAAATAAGATTGCATGCGCCTTAAGGATAATAAATTCAACCGAGCAGAAATAGTTGCTTCAAATAAAATTTTGCGGGAAATTGCAGTGTTACGCTCAAGGGAATTAAAATATATATAGGTCACGCTCAAAACTGTTATTTTGGGAAGTGTATATTGGCGCTTTGCGGAATGTGAAAGCCATATTTTACTCATAAGCCCTTATTTTTTTATGTGGGAGCAGGTAGACATTTTATCGTATTAATGTATTACGCGTAGTATTTGAAATATGATTTACTTAAGGGATTTCATAAATCGAAAAAGGGAACGAGAAAATTTCATTTGGTTATACGAGAAGAGGCTTACTCTTTTTACATTTCGCCTTTATTCTGATGTACTGGCGGGCTTTCTTATTTCGATTTGGCTTTCTGTTTATATGGGATATCTTCGCTTTTGGGATTTACATTCAAATTTTCAACTGAAAGACAATAAAAGAACTTCAGCTCAAATCATAGATACTTCAGGTGACATATTCGCTGTAGATGCTTTTTAAGATACCTTCTTCGTAGCATATTATGATCGACACACTTTGTAATTTGACTCCACACAACGTTTTGGAAAGGCAGTACACGTGACAGTGTTACCGCTAACAGTTGCAAATTGGATTTTTGCTTGGTTAGCGAAGGGATGACAATTAATAATTACATTTTAGGTACATGCCACTTCCATTAGTCGCACATGGTAGCAAAGACTAAACAAATTAGAAACTTCATCGTCACTACACCCCGCATGTATACTGCGTAACCAAAACGGTTTCTGTTACAAAAGCTTTGTAAGTTTAGCAGATGTCGCGTTTCCACCCAAATGCGTAAAATATTCAAATTATCTGGTTATGGCTTACTATAACTGGCATTGTTTTCCTGAAATTAAACGCGTGTTTATGACATAGGTGTGCTGTTTGTATACTCGTAATTCATTTGTACGCTGATTTCACATTTCGCGAACACAACATGTTATCTTATCGTGCAATTTCCAACATGCAACCATTAATTAGATTCGGTTTAGCAAATGTATGCTGTACAGCTACTCGGTATCTAATAAGAGACGCGACATGAAATCATGTTCATGCAAGAGGTGAATACAGTGGGTTTTGATTGGATAACTAGTGGGTAGCTATATCCTATAAAGAAGAAAGATCTTAACTGCATATTATAGAAACGACGATTTAATAGACAGCGTTGGCTGAAGATACTCAATAATTACCTATGCATATCTTCCGTATAGGTTTTAGCATTTCCCAATGAATATTCATGTAGCTTTGGCAAGGAACGCAAAATTGTTTACCAAATTCTATGCACGTAATTATACAATGGATTTCCAGTTAAAGCCTAGGTATTTCATTATTTTCGCTTCGTAAAAACAAACCGAAGGGAACAAATTTGTTTTGGGGGATTTGTGTAAACAGTCAGTGGCGCTGTAAATAACTCGATCGCTAAACTAAAGGAAAACGGAACGCTAGATGAATTTATAAACTTCGCCATAAATAATTAATCAGCTAAGCGCAAACATCAACACACCCTAACCAAACCATTATCGTGAGTCCCGTGTTACTTTTCATAGCCCTTATAGGGGATTTAGGATGGAATCTTAAACAAACAAACTTCAATACCGCTAAGCGCTTTGTATGCGGATGATACCAGATTCGGTGTCATAAACGTGGGTGTCTAATTCGATGTCCCGAAGATTATCGGGATTTTATTGTTTATTCTGGAAATAGACACAGGAGAAATAGAACCAATAGAATGTATATTGAAAAAGTTCGCAGTATATTGCTAAACGAAATGCAGTAGCCGTGAAATATCAATACAAGGTTCTATGATCTATTCATACAAATATGCAATAAGAGCACACCCAAAATATAAAAATTTAAAATTTAGAAAATATAGGAATAAACAAATTCTTTATTGAATAACGCATATCTCATATTCGGATCAATGTAGTTGTTAACGACCCTACCATATCAATGTGTTCTTAGTTACTTGCGCAGAATCTGGACATACCAAAAAATGATACCCACCTTGTGGTTTTGTCGTCCCGGGACACTTGCACCCTGGTTACTTGCGTCCAGAGTATTTTGAACCCTTGTAACGAGAACGTTTGATTTGGGTTAACACTTTCAACATTTCTGAGGACTTTATCTGGATGATTAGAGTCAATGAAGTATGCGCCATTTTTACGCCGTGGTTTCTAATGGTCTATATCGCTTTCCAGGCGGGCGTAAGGATAGGATAAAATATAACAGACGTTTTAACAGGGATATTACCTTTACATTATCATCCTTCAATCTAAATATTGAATTTCTACGCTCTTCTGCTCTCTTTCCCTCTTGCACTTCCATATACTTTGTCTTCTCCATGTTAATTCTTAGACCATACTCATTTTGCAACATTTTCAATTTTCGTATCATTTCTATTAGTTGGCGCTTGTTTCTAGCTACTAAAGATACATCGTCAGCGAAAGCAACTATTTGGTGTTTATGGTGGTATAGACTTCCGTTTCTGCGGAACTCCCATCTTCTTACCATTTGCTTCAATAATAAATTAAATTAGTCGGTTGATAACGGGTGTCCCTGATGAAGTCCCCGTCTGACTCTGAAGTTCCGTGAGTTGACCCCGTTAATCCTCGCGTTAATCATTACGCTGGAAGTCTTTGCACAAGTTTTCCAACAGCAAGTGATAATTCTGCCTCGGACATGGTTCCCTTCAGACCCTGCTTCAGACATTCAGGATTCTATCAGTTGAAATTTTCTTGGTTTCACCTCGTTCAAATGGTGGACCTCGCATTCGCTTTGACCATGGATTGATTGGCTCTGCTCCGAAGTATTTATCTGCTGTAGGAGGAGGAAACAAAATTTCAACTCATTATACATTTTTTCTCACAGAAAACCTAACTTACGTCGACTACAGGGGATATTTCGTATCATATTCATCAATATGAAAAAACCACTTAAATACTTTCTCCCAAAACTCAAAAGGGAATTAAATATTAGGTATGTAGCGTAAGAACCGAGATATTAACAATGTGGGGCTTTGAGGTAAATTTTTACATTAATGATTAATGCCTCTTTTTGTAGCACGTTCAACATCTACGTGTAATCTGTGACCAATGATTACTAGTACGAATAGTGTACCTATCTTCCAAAAAAGACCTACAGGTTATAAAGGAGATTTCGAATGGGGAAAGGATGACAACGAGGATACCTTCGAAACACATTAAACAATATTTTAAAGAAGCAGCTTATTTATTTAGCACTTGTTCTGCGTTATTAATATCGTGAGCCTGATTTGTGTAGTATCGTTATGCTCCTAAGAGGAAGTGACAATCCGAAGCCGAACCCGTCCTAATGAGTGACACCTATCACGTAACAACAACCCACTAAGGACCGATCCGTTAGTGACCGTTAATGGCAAATCGCGAAAAGAAACCTTTGTTTTTCATTTGATGTCAGTCACCGATATAAGTAGAAGCAGTGTCATATGGGCGAAATCTGTTAGCTGTTAGCTTTGTCGTTAATCGACAGTGACACGACTGAATTTCACATAACTTATATAAAAGGACGAAGGACTGTATTTTGCCTTTATGAATTGTTCCACAGTTAATGTACTAATTTCTGAAGTTTATTAATTAAAACAAAATTGATGAGACTGTATTTAAATAAGTGAAATATTTGGGACGTCGTACTGCCAACTTAATACAACTTGCACTAATACAACTTCTATATCAAAATTCCCTAGTTACAAAAAGTTACTATAACATCATTTTGATAAAAATTTCTCGAAAATGTCTTCTCAATAGAAAAAATAGTATAAGAAACTTGTTTCATAAGACGCCCCATCGCACTCGTTCATTAGAAAACTCGCCGCGAGCGGCTCGTTTTCTAAACTTGAACTCGTGCGTTAAACGCGCCACTTATGAAACTTGTTTCTTAATATACTATTTTGCAATCAAAACTGTACGTTTCTTGTACCAGTTCGAGCGTCTTACACAACCACATGTTTGTTATCGGTACAATAAATGGAACACCTGTTTGTATATAATTACCTCTGTCCTGTGAATCATTGTCTATCCTCTTTTGCATTCTATTGCGATAGTGAATCCAAATTTTTCAATAACGCCAATCGTAGATTTGGGGGATATACCAGTGTCAAGTGGTTTTTCTCCCCAAAAATACAGTAGTAGTCAAGTTGATAAAATACACGTCTACGGAATATTCCCGATTTTTTCTACAGAGCCCGTAATAATGTAGTTTACGTAAAAGCAGCAGCTAGATCGTAATGGACATTGCCATACCAAGTGCACAAAACTCCCCTGATAGGGACAGTTAACTCCGTGATAAAGTCGATCTGGCACTCCGATACTCTATCTTGTTAGATTTCGCTAAAGGGACGATAAATCCTACTTGGGGGTGTTTAGATAAGAACTGTTGTAAATAGTGTGATTGATTTTCACTTTTCACATATTAACCCTTAAATGATTTCATTATATTGTGTAAATGTACAATGTGCCCTTTTTTAATCTTAATCATTTTTCATAGGTAAACGCATAATCTGATGGACGTCTGAGAATCTTCTAAACGCATTCTAATTTACCTGCATTTGGCTGCACTATGCGGTAAACCAGCCGATTCTGCGCAAGTTACTTTAAGCTAAAATGTGCCGCGCTTAACTGCGCTCATTGGTTCCCTTGTCCAACGCCGCCAAAGCTAAAGGGTAAGTTTTTAATTTAATACTTAACTAAGTAAATACAAAGGTTGCCACGAATTGGATAAACTGATTACCATAAACCCAGTTTCATATTTTCGCATTTCCACAAAATAAAATAAAAACACGCTATTGTGCCCACTTTTTCCGTCCGTCTGACAGTCACTATGGCTGTATCGCTACTAGAACTTTATCTTAAGAGCTATTGTTATACTTTTTTCCTATTTGGTTCGTTATGGTGTCGAGGCTTGCACCAAGGAATGAAGCTTTTCTGCGTTTATGACTTAAGTTATTGTAAAAAATCTTTTTTTTCGCCATGTACCTACCATAATTTTACACCTTTTCATTCTATACGCTAAAATGCTTCTTATTAAATCAAATTGAAATGACTTGTAAAACAATTATTGCGCATGCCACATTCGTTATTCGTGAACCACTGCTTCTGAAATTTATAGGTAGGATCCTTCTTATAACATGAAATTTAAGTAGCACGTCAAAAATGTATTACACATAAGCAACGATCACTTTCTTATTTGTGGCCAGATTTTTATGAAATATTAACAGAAATTGCATCTTACAAGTGTAACATGAATTGACATGTCATAAAATGAACTACGTATGCGCCGATCTAGATTTTTTACTTGTGTACCACTGCGCAAAGTCAACTTTTGTATTTGTAGACGGATTTTTTGAAAATTTTAACAGAAGGTGGTACTTATAAAACAAAATTGAGCGCATATATAAAAAATAAATTGCGCATGCGAAAATTCAACTTTTTTGGACCAATTTTTCTGAAATTTTAACAGATTTAGTCCACAACTAGATCACGTTCATTACATAGGTTGCTGTTAAATGCAGTTTCGTTCATCAAGGTTTGAAGACGTTCACTGTCGCAGATTATGCTTGGGTTTGCTCAACTGCACTGCGACTCTTACACCTCCTGTTTACCAGCATCCGAATCTTCATGTTCATCATGATCCATCGAGATATAGCTTTTAGATTGTTTGGAATCAATATAATTATTGTTTTTGTTCAATTAATGAATTTTAAAATAATAGCGTTTATTTCGATAACCCGGAAACGATTGAATTTAGGTACATTATGCTTATTACAAATTTCGCTTAAAATTGAGAGAATAATCTACAGAGTGGTCCATTTAAAAAAATGCAATTTTGATGTGCCGCGCTTTTGATCAGCAACCCTGTATAATTAGAATTATTACTGCCTAATGGACATTGAAGAATACCAAAACTTTTGTATATAACATAATATTTGTCCCTGATATAATCGACCGTTTCCAGACTTCTCAGCGACCCCGTATATCAAAAGAGGTTCCAACTCTCAGAAGGGTGCTTGGCCTCCTTTTGCTTCGAAAACCACCCTCTGATGCGACCTAGCAGCATAGTAGTGTTTCCAATTTTTCTGGAAAATTGTTATTATACTGACGAAGAAAATGGTCAGAACCTTAATTGCTCCTTATAAAATTCTACATCATTTATGACCTACACGTTTTTTTCTTTATATCGTACCTTAACCTCACAAATATTTTTTGAGAAAAATTGAAAACACTAGTGCGACATCACATTAAGGGGTGGTTTTTGGAGCAAAAGAGGATGAAGCATCCTTCTGAGAGGTGAGAACTCTTTTGATATACATTTACTTGTTTTTAAGGAGCTCCTACCCAAATTTTTAACTCTTTATCCATTTTGTCTCACAAAAAACCTAATTTACGTCGACTACAGGGGATATTTCGTATCAATTTCAGCTTGTTGCCAGCTCGGAGTACGACAAAATTTGGAAAAGGTTTCACCAAATCACGGTCGCAATGATAGTTCCCCAATCCCCTTTGTATTAGGGATAATTTTCGTCAGTGAAAACGATTTACACTCAATATCGTAATTGATATTATGTCTACGCAGGTCATCCCTGCATATTATCAACCCTTAAACATCGCCAAGAAAATGAGTAGGTAAACGCTTTATATTTTTGGAATTAGTTGTCCTTTTCCTAAGTGAAACGTAATGGGAAAAGAAAGGTTATATTTTAAATACTTATATATCCCTATCTCAACCGGGCTTCCCAATTCCAATAACATTTGGTCATTTATAAATTATTTGAACGTATTTGTACCTGTATCTGAGCGGCTTATGCGATATGCCAACCGATTCGGCGCAAGTTAGTGCCTTATAAAATATGTTGAAGTGCGCGTCGTGCGTTTTTGCTCCGATAGTTTCTCCTGTCCATTGCCAGCCCCAAAGTTAAGGGTAAGATTTTTCGTTAACAATTACTTAAGTTGATATTATTAATATTAACTCTTATTACACTAAATAGTAAATTGTGAAAATGTAATTGTACGCCATTTCTAATCTTGACCATTTTTCATAGCTAACGCACAGTAGGACGGACGTCGGACAATCTTCTAAACGCATTGTAATTTACTTGCACTTGGCGGAACTATGCGCTAAACCAGCCGATCCTGCGCAAGATAAAACGTGCTGCGCTTAGCTGCGATCAATGGTTTCCCTAGTCCAACGCCACCAATAAGTGTAAGTTTTTAATTTAATACTAGACTAAGTAAATACAAGGTTGCCACGAATTGGATAAATTGGTTACCAAAAAATTCCGTTTTCATTTTCAGCGCATTTCCAAAAAAAAACCGCGCTATTGTGCCCACATTGTCTGTCCGTCCGTCCCTCTGTCCGTCCGTCCCTCTGTCCGTCACTATGGCTATGATCTTTATCTTAAGAGCTATTGTTCTTCTTTTTTCGCTATTTGGTTCGTTATGGTGTCGTGGCTTGCACCAAGGAAGGAAATTTGTTTCTGCGTTTATGACTAAAGTTATCATAAAAAATCTTTTTTTTCATGTACACTACCACTGTTTATTGTACTTATAAATTATATACGCTAAAATGCTTCTTATAGAATCAAATTGAAATGACACGGGTTGAGCATCCTCAGTGCTAACGTTCTTTTTTGTGGACCGATTTTTCTGAAATAATGAATTAAGTTCAAATGAAAAAATAAATAAAACAATTATTGCGCATGCCCATACCCACATTCGTAATTTGTGAACCACTCCTGAAATTTAGGGTAGGATTCTTCTCATAAAATGCAGCTAAAATAGCACGTCAAAAATGGATTGCACGAAGGTGCAACGATAACTTTCGTATTTGTAGCCTGATTTTTACGAAATTTTAACAAAACTTGCATCTTAGAAATGAACAATGAATGCCCACATGTGAAAAAAGCGACTAATAATTATGCTAAGTTCCAGCTTTTTTACTTACCCTGTTTCTTGACATTTCAGCTGAAGTATTTCAAGATACTTATTAGTATTACCCACTGAGTTTATTACTTTATTCGTTTTTGCATAACTTTATAGTATTATATCCATATTTGTGAGATGTGAGGTTAGGGTACGATATAGAGAAAAACGTATGGGATATAAATGATGTAGAATTTTATATGGAGTAATTTATGTTCTATCCATGTCTCTCGTTCGTTAGGGTAACAGTTTTTGAGAAAAATTGAAAACACTAGTGCGACGTCACGTTTTAATATACATTTACTTGTCTTTAGGGAGTCCGTACCGAACGCTTTATACATTTTTTCCTTCAAAAAACTTAATTTACGTCGACTGCAGGGGATATTTCGTACCAGCTCGGAGTACGACAAAATCTGGAAAACATTTCACCCAATCACGGTCGCCAATTCCCTTTTATTTGAAAATCATTTTCGCCATTCTTAGTCGAAACGAACAATTTAGTGAATTTAGTGAAAAAGACTTACACTCAATATCGTAATTGATATTAAGTCATCCCTGCATATAATAACCCTTAAACATCGCCAAGAAAATGTGTAGGAAAACGCTTTATTTATTTTATAGTTGTCCTTCTCCAAAGTGAAACGTCATGCGAAAAGGAAAGGTTCTATTTTAAATAGTAAATACTTATATATCCGTATCTGTACCGGGCTTCCCAATTCGAATAACATTTGGCCATTTATAAATTATTTGAACGTATTTGTACCTGCAACTGAGCGACTTATGCGATAAGTCGACCGATTCTGCGCAAGTTAGTGCCTTATGAAATATGTGGCGGTGTGCGTCGTACGTTTTTGCTCCAATAGTTTTTTTGCCCATCGCCATCCCCAAAGTTAAGGGTAAGATTTTTCGTTAACAATTACCTAAGTTGATACAAAAACTTTTCACGAAATCACAAACGGTCGCCATAAATGCAATCTAACTTATTATTTCGGGTACCTACGTACGCGAAACGTTTCCATTATTTAGGTGTCTACACATTTTTTAATTTTCAGTTTGAGTCGTTAGCATTAATATTCATTTTTCTAGACAACGCCAATGAAAGATTTGGGAAAATTTTCATTTTGCAGTCAAAAGTTTACGTTTCTTGTACCAGTACGAGCGTCTTATACGACCACATGTTTGTTATCGGTACAATAAATGGAACACCTTATTGTATGTAATTAACGCTGTCCTGTGAATCATTCTCTCTCGTCTTTTGCATTCTATTACGATAGTGATCCAAATTTTTCAATAACGCCAATCAAATTTTAACTCATTTCGTAGAGGTGCTATATACATCAGGGATTTTGGGGGATATACCAGTGGCATGCGGTTTTTCTCCCCCAAAAATACAGTTAGTACAGATAGTATATTATGTCTACGCAAGTCATCCCTGTATATTATCAACCCTTAAACATGGCCAAGAAAATGAGTAGGTAAACGCTTTATATTTTTAGAATTAGTTGTTCTTTTCCTAAGTGAAACGTCGCGTCATGGGAAAAAGAAAAGTTATATTTTAAATACTTATATATCCTTATCCCTACCGGGTTTCCCAATTCGAATAACATTTGGTCATTTATAAATTATTTGAACGTATTTGTACCTGTATCTGAGCGGCTTGTGCGATAAGTCTACCGATTCTGCGCAAGTTAGTGCCTTATGAAATATGTTGCAGTGCGCGTCGTGCGTTTTTGCTCCGATAGTTTCCCTTCTCCATTACCACCCCCAAAGGTAAGGGTAAGATTTTTGGTTAACAATTAATAAGTTGATACAAAAACTATTCATGAAATCATAAACGGTCGCCATAAAACCAATCTAATTTTGTCAGGTATGCGAATCTTTAAGACGTTTCCATTATTTAGATGTCCATACATTTTCTAATTTTCAGTTTGAGTTGTTGCATCAATATTCATTTTTCTAGACAATGCCAATAAAAGATTTACGAAACGAAAATTTTCATTTTGCAATCAAAACTGTACGTTTCTTGTACCAGTACGAGCGTCTTTACACGACCACATGTTTGTTATCGGTGCAATAAATGGAACACCTGTTTCTATCTAATTAACGCTGTCTTGAGAATCATTTTATCTCGTATTTTGCATTCTATAATGATAGTGAAATTTTTCAATAACGCCAATAAAATTTTAACTGATAATTTCATTACGTAGGTAAACGTATAAATGGGAACCTTAATTTATGGATTACCGTACACGTCCTTTTCTGGAATTAGTTTTTACTCCCAAAAATACAGTAGATAGTTAGTAAGTTCTTAAATACAGGTCTATGGAACATTACCGATTTTTTCTACTCAGCCCGTAATAATCTAGTCCACTATATTTAAAAGCACCAACTAGATCGTAATGGCTATACCGAATGCAAATTAGCCGACTCCTCTCATAAGGGGATTGCGCATCTGTCAAAACCGGGATAAAATCGATCTGGAACTCCGGTAACCTTTCTTTTCAGATTTCGCTAAGTAGGTACTACACTTAACAGGAGCGAACAAATCCTACTTATGGGTGTTTAGTTACGAACTGTTGTAAATATTGTGATTGATTTTCAATCTACGTCTATTAATTCTGAAATTTGAGGGTAGGTTGCTTGTTATAAAATGAAATTAAAGTAGCACGTCAAAGATGGATTGCACATGTGTAACGGTAACTTTCCTATTTGTGGTCCGATTTTTACGAAATTTTAACAGAAATTTCATCTTACAAATGGAAAATGAATTCATATGTTGAGAAATGGACTACTATTGCGCAGATATAGCTTTTTTACTTGTGTGCTACTGTTTTTGGAATTTTAACTTGTACGTACGAGTCCTTAGCGCATCTTTACAAAAAACAAAATAATGTGCTATTATAACCACTTTGTGCACCCGTCCGTCCGTCCGGACCCACTTCTACGATTTTAAACTACTTTTTGGGGAATTGTCCTAGGGTCTTGAAATTTTCTGTTATAGGTAACCTATATCCTGAAGCTGTGTCAGACGGCCTTCAACTTTTGTTACCTTAAGGGGGGGCTCCTTCATAAATTATTTCCTAACATGCTGTTTCTGAAAGTAAAACTTGCATAACTTTCAATCCGACAAACAATTTGTTTCAGACATTGCCCCTTCATGGTATTCTAATCAGGTCTCGTCGAAAGGAATTGGTTTATACAAACTATAGCTGTTTCCCTCGCGACTTACATTGTTTATTTGTGACCCAATTCTCCTGAAATTTCAGCGGAGGATACTTTTTTATTTTTTTAGGTTGTAAACACTTTTGGCACAGATGCGCTTTGTAATTTATACAGGGTGTTACACGACCGTTCGAAAAAAAAAATCGGGTTGTAGAGGGCATCAAAACAAGCACTTTTTCCAAATAAACCGAGGGTCCAACGTGTTTCGTTTGGGAGCCACCCCCCAAAGAGTGTTGAAATCTGCATTTCTTCTTTAATTTTTTTCTCAGCAACCATAAGAGTTACAAAGTCGGGTGGCATGTCTTTGAATAGGTTTTTGGGTATGCTCTTTCCGATTTTGCAATTTTTTTTTCAAAATTCCTACCCCTAAAGGGCGCACCCCTAAACTAGGGTGCAAAAAAAAATTCTGATTTCGACGAAATTTGGTATCTGGGGGTTTTTTAACATGAAAATCACGAATCTGAAATTAGTTTTTGAAAATTCGAAAAAAAAAGTTCCACTGCAATTCTTGGCGGGACAACGAAAATAGAGATAATTCCACGAAATTTGTTGTGTACATACTAAACGAGTTAAGGAACAAAACTGTCGAACAGTTTTTTAAAATAACTTTTCAAACAAAAGTTATACTCATTTGAATGTTGGTCCTTCGGGTCGCGAAGTGTCCCAAGCCTACTAGTAAGCCATAATTTCGCATGTGTTGGTTGACAATGTCGCAAAAACAAAAGATTAACGGTTTGAGTCGATATTTTGTTATTTGGAATTAATTCGGTCATTAAATGATTAAAAAATTCGATGTATCGATTAAAACACCTACCAAGGTATCTTAAAGCGCTGATCGATTATTTATTATCTAAATAAGGTAGGGGAAAAAGTCAAATCACTTTCCGTATGATACTTTTTCACTATGATCAAAAATTTTCATAATCTTAGGTTGAAAAATAACTTCCAAAAGAACACGCTCCTGGCTTACTAGTAGGCTTGGGACACTTCGCGACCCGAAGGACCAACATTCAAATGAGTATAACTTTTGTTTGAAAAGTTATTTTAAAAAACTGTTCGACAGTTTTGTTCCTTAACTCGTTTAGTATGTACACAACAAATTTCGTGGAATTATCTCTATTTTCGTTGTCCCGCCAAGAATTGCAGTGGAACTTTTTTTTTCGAATTTTCAAAAACTAATTTCAGATTCGTGATTTTCATGTTAAAAAACCCCAGATACCAAATTTCGTCGAAATCAGAATTTTTTTTTGCACCCTAGTTTAGGGGTGCGCCCTTTAGGGGTAGGAATTTTGAAAAAAAAATTGCAAAATCGGAAAGAGCATACCCAAAAACCTATTCAAAGACATGCCACCCGACTTTGTAACTCTTATGGTTGCTGAGAAAAAAATTAAAGAAGAAATGCAGATTTCAACACTCTTTGGGGGGTGGCTCCCAAACGAAACACGTTGGACCCTCGGTTTATTTGGAAAAAGTGCTTGTTTTGATGCCCTCTACAACCCGATTTTTTTTTTTTCGAACGGTCGTGTAACACCCTGTATGTGGGCACAGCTCCACTGCTATACAAGCGCTCATCGTTAACACTAGCGTGTTAAATAGGGTTGGTAACAATAATGGTAACATTTTTCCTTCACGTAATCCGATACTTTAAATCTATTTGTTCTTAAATTTGTAGTGAACTGAAATTGTTTTAGCGCGATTACCGATTTTAATCACATCGCATTATCGTCCTTGCAAGTAGTTTACTTAGGTGTTTTCCTCAGAGAACTCACAAATTGAATTTAGGAAGTTTGGACATAAACTATACTAAATTGTATAATTGAATAAAAATTTATATGCGAATCTCCCTTTGTGAAATAGCTTTCTAGCCTGAGGCAAATGCAATAATATAAAATATAGCTTGATTCCAAATGTAGGTACGCATGCAATCCCTTAAATAAATCCTGCAGAATGTATTTGGATATGAGCTTAATTTATTTTTCTAAATATTAGTTGTTTTTGTTAAACAAGCCTAATTTAGGGAGATATAATTATATAGTACAATATATGAGGTATGTAATTTACAGTAACCATAAATGGCGATTTATTTCTAAAATCGACTGTTATCTCTTGTGGTCTTCAGTGTATACAGATGTACGTTACTTTGTTGGGTAAATTTGACAATGAGCTATACCAAACATTTTGATTGACAGTAACTCCAACCCTTAATAATAGTGGAAATAAAACTTTAACGCGATCTGTACGTAATTTACTGTACTGTTTACATCAGTAAATATTTTTAAATCACCGGCATATATGAGTGACTTGCATTTAAAAATAGATGTAGTATCATTAACGAAAATGAAGAACAATAGTGGTCCCAAACTGGATCCCTTGGAAAACCGCTTGGTGCTACGTATGCAAAAGAGGTGTACCCATTTACAGCCACGCGTTGTTTTCTATTGGCCAAATATGATGACACCCAAATTGCTGAGCTTGTTTATTAAAATGGGATGCTGAAGACGATCGAATGTTTGACTGAGGTCTGCAAAAAATACATCCACCTGAACTGTAACACCATACAATTAGTGCCAAATCTACACATACCAATCCTTCAATAGCGATACTGAGGTGTGAGGTAATTGATATGACATGGTATTATATGCAGAGATAGTTGGTGCTTGTCTTCAACTGAAAAATAAAAAGGACATCTACCATTATTTTACATTTCTTATATCTTCACATAAATCGATCGTTATTTATATAATTTGGCAGAACTTGGTTCATAATGAGGACTCCGGTTCTGGAGATGCCTTGTTCTAATAATAAGCTCTCGTTCAAAAAGTAGTTTATTTGAAAATATTTCTCTTTTCAGTTATTGGTGTAATCGCGTGTGCTCCTTGGTGCCAGTTTGCCCTGCGAAAGTGAACTAGTGCGGTTGTCCGTGGATGATGCTTCTTCCCAGGAGAGACCGAATTGATAAGGCTAAGGGGTAAGTGTTCGTTTTTGACTTATAAGTCAGTAGGTTAATGATCTTAAGTATAAGTAGTGAAATGGGTTACAAAAAGAATTATAACTACCTACTTACATCAGATGAAAATTGGACTGAAAGTTTGTTTTTAGTAAAAAGAACTATAATAGTTATTTAAGTAAACATAATAATTGGGCAGTGTTGGCCACTCGTTTAACGTAAATCTATTCTTTGTTTCAGATTCCAGAAGGGCAGCCTTATAAAGGTAGGATTTTTCGTTTTGGTGCATGGGTGACGGCATTTTTTTTGTATTTAGCAGGGGGGGAGTGAATAGTGTATATAGTGACTCTAAAGAAGATCAACAATTTTCTTGCATGACCTTTGCACTGTAATTGTAAGTGAGCTGTGACTTTCTGCTAATCTTATCGTCTTGGTAACCTAAAATTGACTGCAATGGTTCTTTAAACAGCTTCTTTCGCGGCGACTATCGGTTGACTTTATGCAAAAGACTGCAAATATGAATTCATAGCTTTGCCGGTTTTATTAAGTAAACGGATTGTAACTTCGAAAAAAAGACTAAGAGGGAGCATTGCAGTCCCTTTCGTTGCCCAGGTGAGTAGCTTCACGGATTGTCATATCTCATTTGTTATTATGCAAAGATCTGCTTAATGGTAAGGTGAGTTAGGATGTTCCTTAATTACTGCATCGAAACTCTTAATTTGTACTGAATTATGACTTATGAGCGATAAGTAGTTAAGAAACGAACACATCGAGAAATAAACTGCTAACTGCTAAACTCATCGATTGTCCTTTCTCTCCTGATGTAGCGCTGGTCCTGTCGTGTTATCTACTGACGAGGATTTACCAGTCCGTGGTCCTGATTCCAGTCTTCCCCCGTCTCTGTTGAACACATATGAATCCGGTTTAAGCAAATAAAGTGAGTGCACCACTGTCTTTTACATCAATATTTATATAATGAAATTTTCTATGGTTGAAAAAAACGAGGACATGAATCTCAAAATCTCAGCCGTGCTGTTTGGTTTAATTTCTTTGTTAAAGCATTCTATGTTTTCCCATTCTTAAGCAGTAATCATTATAGTTCCCTATAAAACGGCTCCTTTGAAAGAATTAATGAGGTTCAAAACGACCAATCACATAGGAAAGTTGCCATTTTAAACATTTAAGTGGTGGTTTATGGGAGGATCAAGGGACTGAGGGTACCGTGCCTATACAATTTCTCTTGTTGATCGACCTTTTCTCGGTTTCGGGCTTTATGTTTCCGATTTATTGTCACTGACGAATTGACAGAAAAAATGTGAAATGACCCCAAGCACGCAAGTAGGGGGATGATCCCAAAGTAAACAGAAATCATGCTCGTTTATTAAAAAGTTCACAATTTTTTTTTAAAGAAAAATGACAGTGTTATTGTTTTCAGATCTGCCAACTCGACGCTTTGGCTGTTGTGTATCCTGTCACAGTGAACGTCGTCTGCCTTAAGTCCGATGGTTTCCGTTGTCCTTCACACCAAACCCAATGGTAAGTTTTTAATTAACTAAGCTGAAACAAAAATGTTTTATATCAAAAATAGTCTTTGAGAAACATGCTAAAAATTGTGCATTTACAGAAATCAGAATTGAGGAAAATCCCAAATTTTAAATTGTAGCACACTGTACAAGGCTTTCTCTTAAAGGAGTCTTTAATTTATTTTTTAATGTAATTCCGTTCAGGTGTGTTACCCTCAATGGCAATGTTGTACAGGGTTACTATAAACTAATGGAACAAGGCTCTCCTGCCAAAACAGTTCGAGATATTGATTTGCTGTGCGGAGAACTTCAGAAACATTATTATGTACATTTCGGAATGAAAACGATATTTCTTCATTACCCCAATTTTCAGAGCGGCCGCCATCTTGAATTTTTTCTAATTGGCAACATGGGCGCCTTGACCATTGGAGTACCTAATGATGCAATTTCTTTTTCATTCCGAAACATACCCAACAGTGTCTGATTGAAGTCCTTCGAACTGCAAATCAATATTTCGTACCGTTTCAGCAAGAGATATTTTAATGAAATTTCACTAAAAATCTATTAATCACTTACATTATTATTCACCAACAACTTATTTTTTACTTTAAGAATAAGCGCTGTTATCTCTGTTCAAATTTTGAGTACTTTCAACTAGCTTACCTTAGCTCCAGTTGTGGGCTCCGTTAACTTAGCACCACCATTTCAAATTTTTGACTAAAGACAGATTGCGCTAGAATCTCTATGGCTAGCGCCAGCTAGCGCCACTTTGAGTTCAGCTAGCGCCATTATAGATTTTGCAGAAAAGCCCTTGATTTTCGGGGGGTGCTATGTTAACGCTAGCACCACCATTGCGTCCGATCATTTCCAAAAGCAAGCGCTGTGTTCGTCAGACCTAGCGCCAGCTAGCGCCACAAATTTTAGAGCTAGCGCCACCCCCCAATAGTGAGGGGAGCAATTTTTCCTAGCACCACCATTTTGTCTTTTCATGTAAAATTTTGATGTTTTGTGTTCGGCTGACCTAGCGCCAGCTAGCGCCACTTTGAGTTCAGCTAGCGCCATTATAGATTTTACAAAAAAGCCTTTGACTTTCGGGGGGTGCTATGTTAACGCTAGCACCACCATTGCGTCCGATCATTTCCAAAAGCAAGCGCTGTGTTCGTCAGAGCGCCAGCTAGCGCCACAAATTTTAGAGCTAGCGCCACCCCCCAATAGTGCGGGGGGCATTTTTTCCTAGCACCACCATTTTGTTTTTTCGGGTAAAATTTTGACGTTTTGTGTTTTGCTGACCTAGCGCCAGCTAGCGCCACAAATTTTAGAGCTGCCATCACCCTCCAATAGTGTGGGGGGAGGGGGTACCACCATTTTGTCTTTTCGGGTAAACATTTGATGTTTTCTGTTCTGTAGACCTAGCGCTCAAGTTAACCTAGCGCAATTATAAATCCTAGCGAGTTTATAATTTTGCGGTGTCTGTCCGTCTGTTCGTTAGCACGATATCTTGATAACGATAGCGAATTGACCGTTTACGATGAAATTCTGTAGATGGATTCTTTATCAATTTTGTAGATCGGAGTTCGTGAATTGGTAATGTAGACCAAAAAATAAAGTAGGCACTTTTGACATCTCTGTGAGTTATGAACCGAATTGTATGAAATTCAATATGTGTATAGCTTTAGCCATATAAAACGCAATTCCAAAAGTTGAGCTTAATCGATCAACATTCACAGTGCTCTTTTCGCATCTCGACCATTTACAAACCCGATTGAAAACTTACTTATTTATGGAAGCATTTAAAAGAAATTTGATACATAGCAACTTGGAATAAAAGCAAATTTAACGCCAGTTTCAAAATTTGGTTTTGTGCATGATGTGTGGTGCCAATTTTCTTATTTATGGAAGCAATTAAATGAAATTTCATACATATACACTTTAAATAAAAGCAAAACTAACACCAAGTTCAAAATTTGGTTTTGCACATGCTGTCCTTACCCAGGAGCTCGTTTTCTATATTTATTTACACGTCGCTGCGAAAAGGGCACTGTGAATGTTGATAGATTAGGCTCAATTTTTGGAATTGCGTGTTATATAGCTTAAGCCCTTAAGCTATATACGAATATTGAATTTTATGCAATTCGGTTCAAAACTCACGCAGATGTCAAAAGGGCCTTACTTATTTTTTGGGATACATTACCAATTAATTTATGAACTTCGATCTACAAATTTGATAAAGAATCCAACTACAACATTTCATCGTAATCGGTTCATTCGTTATCGAACTATTGTGCTAACGGACAGACACCGCATCTGGGATGGTCAAACTCTTTACCTTTTTTAAACCCCAATGTGCAAATCTGTCCCTCTTAGGGTCGGAAATAATAAGCAAATTATTTCAATTTGAAATCCTTTACTTTTTGGATTGATCGTTCTGTTTAAAGTAAAAAGTTACAATAAAAATACTAAAATTTGTATATAAAGTAGCAAGATTGTAACCCTTCATTTCGAAGTAAACTGACGGCGAGGTATGCAGGTACAAACTTACTTAAACCCTTTATGAATGCGCAAAAGTTGTAAATTTTTTGTCACATCAAGGGTTTACAGGCGCGTCAATTGTGTGAATATTGGTAAATCTGCATTGTTAAAAAAAACACCTTTAGATAGTAGTCGACGTGACGTACATAGGTATATACGAAGCTTTGGAACAGGCATTACAAAGATTTCTTTATAATTCCCAGTTGTAATGTAAATTATACTAATTCTCAGTTGTAGACTGTAAATTAGTACTAATTCCCAGTGTAACTGGGATTAGCATACTTCCAGTTGTAACTGGGATTAGCACTAATTCCAGTTGTAACTGTAAATTAGATAATTCCCAGTTTACACTTACAACTGGGAATTATAAAAAATCTTCGACACATTATAATTCCCAGTTGTAACTGGGAATGAAGAAGAGTAGGTACGCAGAGACACAAGAATTGATCGTAAATGTTTCGTTAATGCTGTATTTTGATAAGATGAAGCAAAGAGTGCACATCATGCGTGTATATTTGGTCGTGTTGTGTAGGCCGCTTAATTCCACAACATAATAACGATTCTTTCTTTTCTCTCAAGATTCTTTCATTAAATTGTTTCAATACGCCATAACTGACATTAAAGTCTGGGATTGTTAAAAATGTTTTTAAATGAAAAAGTAATCGAAAATTAAAACTAAATAAAATTTGAAATTTTGTTTACCAAACTTTTTCAATCGCAGTGGAAAACAAAAGTTTGTGGTCACGCAAATACAATTTTAAAATTCCAAATTTTTTTAAACAAATGGTTGATTTTTTTAGTCATATTGCTGCGTTTTTTTTATGCGAAGCGCCTGTTACTAGAAGTATTGTGAATTCAATCTTTAAATGGTCAATTTTGTCACTTTTTTTTGAGAGGCGTGTCACCTCAAAAAAGCGCGAAAAAACTAATGATCGATAACATTTTGCCAATCTTTAGTCAATTTATTGTTGTTTATATCATTGATATTTTCGGATTTTGTAAAACGAACCCTGAATTTTTGTATAAATTTTCAGGAAGGTAACGTGTTTTATTTTTGGAGAATTAATAAGGTTAGATGTTCATTTTAAATATTCAATCAATAAAGCATTTTATCTAATTTTATAAAAATTCGACCTTAAAAAAGCAACACTATACGCCTGCACGACTGATAAATGTGGTTGTATGAGCTTTAACTTTAACCCTCGAAAGAGCAGGGTATCGAGCATGGTATTTGGATAAATGGCATTTCTCAGATTGTTGATAAAAGTACATTATTTTTCCTCCACAAATAAAACACTCCTGAATATCGTATTCATAGAAAATTTACATTAGTTCATGCAGGTTGTTTTCAACAATCGCGAAAATATCAATAAATTAGTCGTTCACAATTGTTTGAGATGAACGTACTCTCAAAAAATTGCCAAACATTATAAAGTTTGTGGTCTATACAGAAAATACTATGTCAATGAAATGTTCAATATTTTTGTCGGCGATTCTTGCGCTAAACCGAAACCACAATAAAATAACAAAATCGCAGTTAGCGATAATTTGAGTTTTCCGCATTTTTTTGAGGTGACAAAATTCAGAAGTATTCATTGACAAATGGGCATTTACGGATTGAATTTCAACATTTAATACCAGGTGCTCTCAACAAAAGTAAAAAACGCAGAAAAATAAAAAATCGGCGTTTTTCGCATGTTTGGAAATGGCGCCCCTTTCAAAAAGCTTCTGAAAATCAATGACAGTGGTTTTTAAAATAATACATACACCTTTTTTTTTAAAAAAAAAAATAAAACTGCAGCCATCTTGAGTAAAATGTGGAAGTTTTAAAACTCACATTTATTTAGGTTAATGTTTCAGATCTTCAAGCAACAGTATGTCGCAGAAAACAAATTAATCCAAAAAATTCGTTTTTCGATGGTTTAAAGTGGGGAGGGGGATTAGGGTGGTTCTGAACAATGCTAAATTTTTTCAATAACCCCAATCAAACAAACAATGACAAAGCAAAATCAGTCTTAATGAGTATTTGAAACTTACACAATAATTTCAAAATATAAAATTTCTGTACTACAGTCATTGAAATGCGAATATTTTTCTCTTCTATTGATACTATTTATTTTTCTGTAAAATAGATTGGCAAGCAAAAACCAGCAAAAACGTTTAACTATCTATCCCTATGTTCGACTTTGACTGAAACCCTGGTATATCTGGTGTAGTAATTTACAAATGTTATCCCAATACAAACTTTTGCCTGCTTTGCGCTGGCAATAACAAGAATAGGTAGCAAGTAAAAAATATTGCCTCTACTTTTAACAGCTACAATGTTTTGTCAAAGCCCTATGGACGCCGTTGTTATTATTTTATTCCGACATTTCACAAAGTATCATTTTTTAAATAACAGTCAATTGTAATGTCTCTTCTTTTTACAATTGTTCGTTTTTATGTTATTTATTAAATTGTGATTGTTTTTAAAATGTTTACTTAAT